ACCCTGTCCAACGCCAGACGATTTTTAATGCTCAGTCAGTGATAGAGTGCTGTCAATAAATGGGTTAACAAGGATAACAATAATAGGATGTTTCTGAAGGACTCGTTCAACACCCTGTAGTTTGTCTTTTGCTGTCAAAGGCAGCATTACTGCCCTGTGGGTAACCTAGTCGTATTATAAAGAGTAATGCCCAGCATGTTTATAATATCAATTTTATTTCTATATTATTGTCTATATGGCTCTCTTTCGTACGTTATGCTGGGCATTACTCTTTATAATAGGACAATATAATGTCTGGTTTTAGGCACGAGGTTCAACCGCTTATATTATATTAATTCGAAATTTAACGACATACACCCCCAACGCGGATGGTTTGAAAGCTTGTGAAAATGCCTATATTTTAGTTGGATTTATATTCAGGTTAGTAGAAAATTCGCCGAGAAAATGTTCGCAACAAACTGTTGTTATGCCATGGAAATTCAAAAATATCTGTTACATTTTCAAAATCTCGCCTTGCTGCGCATGTAAACACACGCATTTGAAGCTTTCAAAATATATAGTTATAAACCTTTAAAGACACAGTTGGAACGAAAACTTATTAAAATTGAAACGGCCTAGTTTGCAACTAATGATTTTCTTGAAAACCCGCCGTTGCCATTGATTTTTCGTCCTCGTTTCACCGACATCGTACTACAGGGTGTGTATATCAAAACATAGTTAATAGAGGATATGGTTTGGAAACTCGTTAGCATTACAATAAAATCACAATAAACCTCATTATCTATGTCGTTCAGGTTTATGCAAAAATGTGGTCTTTCATCGTCACGTGTGTGTTGTATTTTTCTCAAGTCAACCAATAGGAATGTTCAAAATGTCCTATTGTTAAAGTCATGGATGGGAAATTGGACAAAACCGTTGCTATTGGCTGGTTGAGCAAAAATACAATACGCACGTGACGATGAAAGACCACAATTTTGCATAAACCTGAACAAAAACATAGATAGTGAGGTTTATTGTAATGCTAATGAGTTTCCAAACCATCTCCTCCATTAACTATGGTGAAACCGAGACATTTTAATTGGGAATGGTGTGCATAATGAAAATTGACAAGCAACATGGAAAATGAATACGTGCGAGTTATTAGTTACAGGCAGTGTTGTAACGAGTCACCTACAGGTCGAGTCACGAGTCGAGTCGAGTCACTCAAAGGTCGAGTCACGAGTCGAGTCGAGTCATTTCAGTTTTTGATCGAGTCGAGTCGAGTCAGTGGCTTCACTCGAGTCGAGTCGAGTCGAGTCAGCGGCTTCACTCGAGTCAAGTCGAGTCACTGATTTAAGTCGAGTCGAGTCAATTTCTAGACTTTACTTGAGCTACCCTAGCTTGCTGTCGGAAATCAGTAATCAAATTTGCGTTTTAAACTAATTACTTTAGTCATTTAAATTAATAACGGTATCTGGGCGGCTATAGGCTGTGCCAATATCACAGTTCCAGTCAACCACGTGAGATGTCTCATCATACCTGCTGATCGAGTGTACATACATACAACTAGCAAAACTTGCAACTGGAGTCAGAATTAACAAAGAATAGACTTTAATTAACAACGCTTTGTAAGTTGATTTGAAATTATATAGCCCTTCATAAATACCAAAAATGAAAATAGCCTGTCAGAATTAGTATAAGTACAAAATATTTTGAGACTTAATTTTAAAAAACTGTGGCACTAGCGTTGTTTCTAAAAACAGAAATGTAATATAGGTATGCCCGTCAGGAATATATTCTATGCAAATCCCATATATTTTCTGATAAAGTTTCAAAGTTCACATTGTTTACAGGGCTCATTGTTCTTCCCAAGCAATACAATCACAATAATTGTGATGAATTTACTCTGTACAAGTTGTAGATGAGTTGACTCGAGTCATTTACGGCAAAATCAGCAAGTCGAGTCCGAGTCGAGTCATTTGGGGCTGTTGACTCGAGTCGAGTCGAGTCATTTTTCGTATTGGACTCGAGTCGAGTCGAGTCGCTGAAAATAGCGACTCGAGTTGACTCGAGTCAGAGTCAATGACTCGACTCGTTACAACACTGGTTACAGGAATATTTTGCTACATAGAATACAAGAAATATGTTTCACAAAAGTATGCTGCTGAGCAAAGACTCATTTGTTTGATCCAAACGTGTATTATAAGGTCTAGATACTGTGTCAATAATTCAAAAATTCATAAAGGCTATTCATAACGTTTTATTGATGAGGTCAACTTACCTCTTCAGCTGTGGTATTTTCGTCGCAGACAATTACTTCTTCATCAGTTGGTAAAGGTTGATCTGTAGCACTCATGAAGAGTGACAAGACACAACCAAACACTTCGCCTAAAACAAACCAATCATATAGTAACTGTAGAAAAAAAAGTATTTGTCGAACCTGAGATCAGGATATGGCTATTTCTACCATGGCCATATCTAGTATATCGTTTTGATTGGTTAACGCTAATTAGATAATGATATATTTAGTGGTTATTAGATTGTTGTTGTAGTTATGAAATTGACATTTCTCCTCGGAATTTTATCGGTTACGAAAATATAAAACTATAGTGTGGATGGAAAGCGACCGGACAAGACTTGTGTCAGGCTCTGTGTACATGTAATACAGAGCATAATCGCGGGAAAATTGCCTGCCCTGACCAAATATTTATCGCGGGCGCTATCTTCTTGACAGCCATGCAGTTTAAAAAGAAACCCTGGTTTCGCTGGCCTGTCTCCCGTACTGCAATAGAGTAAAATAAAAGTAATTATAGCAGACTTAAACATTAACGACAAAGCATTCAAAACCACAATTACTAGTCGCAATCGGTTTCTTCCAAAAGCTGTGTTTTATCTTTTATGGCAAATAATCTCGAGCAGGAACATGCCTATCTATTTAGTTTTTTAGCAGGTAGCCAAAACAATTTGCAGTTAGCCCTGCGTGGTCCAAACTTGGCCGCTTCCCTTGAAGCTTGCAAATTGCGGGTATTTTGCTAAAATTGCTTGTTTTTCACGTTAATTTTCTCATAGATACAGGTTGTGCCACCAAAATGTTAGTAGGTCAGAATTAAGAAGTGCTTTTCTTTCAAGTTTTTACCAATAGAATAAAACTCGCCAAAAGAATTGAGAAAACGCTTAATTTTGGCAAGTTTCGACATGTGTGTAAGTGTAATTTGTACGATGAAGGCTATACGCAGAAAACAGGCATCAGAATAAACATTTTGTACTGTATTTTGCTATAATAGTTTCAAAATATTATTTTTAGGTTTTCAAAGTGTTCCAAAAACAGATAAACCTAGTAATCAGATTTTCTACGACCTTTATTTCGAAGTGTTAACTTTGTATTTTTTTTTCAAACACAGACTTTGCTCCTTCAGTATTCTATAAACACAAATTTTGTCACGTTACAGGTTGTGCCACCAAATTTTCGCTGTTTTGAAATAAATTTAAAGATGCCGTAAAGTCTGTTCTGTGCATACGTTCTGCGCAGGTCTACATTCCAATGGTCGAGATCCGATTCAAAAGAATAAGAATTGAAAACGTATAATTTTGCATACCTTTTGGAACAAGTAACAAGTTAGGTTCACCTTCCTTTAAGGCCGATGGTAACTTCCGCCGAAAGTAGTCAGATTCTATAGAAATAAAGAAAATAGTTATTGAAAGCAATTGACGTATAACAAAATACAAAAATTCATAACTAATAGATGATATAATGTTTCTGATGTTACTCTGAGTGTATATCCACACCGGGCAGGCTGAAAACTTAGCCTGATCACAGCGGGAACACACACAAAAAAATCATGATCATAGAACATGCACATTGGTATCGAAGGTACTAGACGTAGTTCCGAAATACCACACACTCGAACAGACTTGGCCTCGTAGCTCAGTTGGCAAAGCATTGGACTACACTGCAAAAAATCAAATTCTAGTCTAGAATAATATTCTTATTTTTTAGATTATTTTTCTTATTTTAAGTAAATATTTCTTATCAAGAAATATTTCAAGAAAAAAAATCTAGTTTTAAGAACAAAAATCTTAAAATAAGAAAATATAACTGGGCAAGAATATTCGAGAGAAATTTTTTCTTATTTTAAGAATAACATTTTTCCATCCTAGAATAATATTCTTATAATTAGAAAAACAATCTTGAAATAAAGTTTAATATTATTTATCGCATATATCAAAACCTTTCTTTTGGCAACTTTTGCATGGCTAAAACGAGATATGATATTGAATTGAATAAACCTAATTGTAATATTGTATATCTTTCACTTTTTTTGTCAAATTTGAAGCTGAACGGCTCTGTCCTAATTGTCGCAGTTTCAACATGGCGGATATCACAATGAATTTGAATATGCCCAATGAATTGCTGCTATTGAAAAATAACAATTATATATGAATTCAAATCATTTGCAACAATCGTCTATCTACGCTTTAATGAAGATGGTATGATCCACCGCAAAAAATGAAGTGTAAATTTACCCAAGATTTTGCGTAAATATCACCGACATGTTATGACATCACGGTTAATGCTGTCAAATGTTATGACATGCGATACGTTAAACGATAAAAATTTTATATTATTGCAATTGGCATATAATTTTTTTAGAAAATATGTCTCATTATTCGCTTATAAGAATTTTCATCATTTTTTTATAATCATTTTTTTGGCCAGATTATAAATGCTTCCTATAGTTTCAAGCTAGCGATAGATTGGGAGCGCTTTTTGGTGTATGTATTTTAGAAGACAAGGGCCACGCGCGCAATGAGTTGTGGGATATCGTATATCAAGTATCAAGTGTGATTTACAAATTTTCGACTTTTTCGTTTGAGCATATTTCGCTCAAGAATATCGTGTTTTTTATCATATTTGGTTCTGGATAAGTGACTCCGAATCCTGCCGAAGGCTTATTGATCTCAGGTATGAAATATTACTGTTTATAGCGTATAATTATAACGTAATCGACCGTATTTACTCATTTTATCTTGTGGCTGTTAGAGCCTGTTGTGGCTGTCTGCTATTGCTAAATTTGAATTTGCGCGCGAGAGGTTTTATATATTGAATTATTTCATTTCAATTCCGTCAAATATTAGTTAAAATCAACAATTCAAATTTTGAATAAACACATAGTAAATACTGGGTTACACTTGCCACTTGGTTGACAAAACTGGAGAAAGCATGTTTGAACCCACATAGTATATTATACAACAATATGTGAATATGAATAATATTTACTTGCTGATTGCTTCAAGCCTATTATTAGCCAAAACATGAAAATTATTTGAGAGTATTAAACTTACAATTACAATGTTATCTATCTGAATCATAAAATTGTTAACCCAAAATATAGAATTGATTATAATATTAGATTATCAGTTCAGTGCATATTTCTTGGTTTATAGCATGTAAATGTTGACTTTATATTTAACCCATTGGCATTGAGCTGGAATGTGCCCCAGTGCGCCCTACTTTTTTTCGCTTGTCTAACGCCAGTTTTGTCACTCATGTCTAACCCTGCATATATGTGTGATATATTGTGCCTGTTTATGTGATAATGGCATGGCTGGACAGGAGGTTTTAATCCAGGATGGTGTGTTTAATATATAGACGGAATACACCCCGCCTCTCCGCCTGGCAGGGATGATAGAGTGCTTGTATAAGAATTTCTCGTCCTGGCAGATGCAATCCCGGCAACAAATAATGGGACCCTGCCTAGGCCAGAAAGAAGTAGAATAATTCACTTTACCGTAAACAGTCGATAGAGTTCATATTGCAAGCTAGATGAGATGGGGTGTTAACGGGATATTACACTAGGCCGTACATTGCATAAGCTGCATTGTGCCACAACTTTATTGTTTTACTCCGTATAATGTCAGATGATTTTACCTGTCAGTGCCATCACTCAACGGGTTACTGAAACAAGTAGCACTTATCTCACATACAACTGAGGTTAAATCATAACCATATGAATGTTTTCTGGAATATGAGGCAATAGCATATTAAATCACAAATACCAACACCATCGCTGTTACATTTTATACCAATCTAATGGTTTTTGCTGCAAAAATTCTTTCTCATGTTATAAACTCTATCCTACATAATAGAATGATTACAAATAAATTACTTATTTCCTTTCATGGGAAAATTTGAGTCATTATGGTCAATTTGAGTCCGAGAATCATGGTCCCACAGTCAAAATGTCAAATTTTAACCCATGAAGTTGCATCGCAGCCTTTATTGTATTCCAGTCTAATGCCACACAATTTTATTTGTGAGTGGGAGAGTGATGGTGGTTAATTGGTTAAAAGTTACGGTTACCACTGAGTAATTTTAAAAAATACAAAACAATGGACACTCCGAAAACGGTTAACATTTTGATTCGACGTTTCGACTAGTTGTTTCGACTAATGTTAACTGTTTTCGGAGTGTCCATTGTTTTGTATAATTGGTTAAGGATGCCAAGTTATATCATTATGCTTTCAATAAGTAACACAGTTGTAATTTAACACTTGCCCGGGGCAAGTGAATATCATTGTCACAAAAAGCTGGGCATCAAGTTTATGTTTTCATTGCCAGATAAATTTTTTATGCAGTGCATGTTGTACTTGTGCATGGATTCAAATTTTGTTTTTCTGTGGGCCACAGCCAGGTCTGAAGCAGTATAACATAGCCATCTAGAGCAGTGGAAGAATGTGTTGACATGTTGTCCCCTTAATTTATAGCCCCTACCTGGGTACCCCAGTGGCCATTGTCTCATGGCAAGTGAATTTTATTCACGGCAACTAATTTTCATATCCAACTTGGCAAGTTGAACTTGCCCTGATGACAAATGGTCAAAAAAGTAAAGATATACCACTGTCTACTGAGTAAAGTATATGAGCTACAGTGTCATGGTAATAAAAACTCTGGAATAAGGTATGCAGTTATTTTCAAAAAATTTACATTATCACTCATCAATATGTCTGCAGGTTGTTGAAGAAGATCGGAGGAGCCTCAATCAATCCAAAGAAGCAGAAGAAAGTGCATACATGAGGAATTGTGAAAAGCAGCAGCTGATTGACCAATTGGACCAACTTATTTACTATCATGGCATTTCAAAAGGAGTTATGAAGCCACCACATGAACAGTGATCTGGTAATTAAATGATATCATTTTGTTTTTTTATTAATTAGAGTACCGGTACCAACATTGGATTCATTAGCACCTGGGGTGGAAAAAGTATCGGACCACGGGACCATTGGTCCCAGAAAATTTTTTGAGTTCCCAGAAAATATTTTCCCAAGAAAGAAAAATTGTAATAATTCAAATAAAAAGAGAAATTCAGAGGAAAATTCACACCATGACCTCAGAAATGCAATTATAAGTGTAACCATCTTAATAGTGCGATAGTGTATAAATGTATTAGACTATAGAACGATGTAAAAAATGTTGTATGGCAAATGCATTTTTAGTTGATCTGGGACAAACTTTTTGGGGGGGGGAGCATGCATGATCTCCCTGATAGTGTCCCCTAAAAGTGCCCTAGCTTTTTTGGTATCTGTATTTACCCTTAGGATCAGACCCTTGATGCATGTCAGTTTTATGTTATATTTTAAGATTCTTAGTGAAATATTATTTCCAGTGAAATATTTTTTCCTGTGAAATATAGCATGACATCCAGTTTGACAACTTGTTAGTGTCACACAATTACAGTGTCCAAATGTCCATTTACTTGACTATTTACAGAAAATGTTCAATGTTCTCTTGCGGTCCCAGAAAGTAAAATATTTTTTCCACCCCTGATTAGCACCGACATTAGGTGTCGTTAATAGAAAATAATAAATGAAAATTGCATTTTGGTTTATGCTGTACCGGTAACTAATAAATGATATGAAAAATCAAAATTGCATTTTTTAGCTCTCAAAATATCACAATGCTTTTATTAAAAATGTACCGGTAACTTAATTAATATTATTTTTTATGTATGTAATTCTACAGAAAGTACTTCACCTAATGAAGAACATTTAATTCACTCTTCAAATCAAAAAGTCAACCTGCTAAGAGCAAACTGGACATCATAAACTTTGTTGAGGTGAGGTTATAGTTTCATTTTATAAAATTCATTTAGTAAGGCCTGAATCAAATTTAGTGTACACTGTACATATACATCTTCTTAGTTTTGAGCTTTCCTATAGTTGAGATAAAGTTAATATGGGCTAACAAAAACTATCTGCCAGTGTCTCTTGTTCCATCCATCATAGTATTTCGCTCTGTCTATAACCCCAGGGGATAGCTTGTTCAGGGGTGGAAAAAGTATCGGACCACGGGACCATTGGTCCCAGAAATTTTTTGAGTTCCCAGAAAATATTTCCCCAAGAAAGAAAAAATTGTAATAATTCAGATAAAAGGAGAAATTCAGAGGAAAATTAACACCATGACCTCAGAAATGCAATTATAAGTGCAACCATCTTAATAGTGCGATAGTTTTGCGATAGTGTATAAATGTATTAGACTATAGAATGATGTAACAATTGTTGTATGGCAAATGCATTTTTAGCCAATCTGGGACACTTGATTTCAAAATTTTCTGGGAGCTAGAGCATGGATCCACCTGATAGTGCCCCCAGTGCCAATTTTGCATCTGTATTTACTTTAGGATCAGATCCTTGATGCATGTTATCTATATTAGCTTTATGTTATATTTTAAGATTCTCGGTGCACTGAAATATTTTTTTTCTGTAAATATACATGTAGCATGACATCCAGTTTGACAACTTATTACAGGTGTCACACAGTTACATTGGCCGAGTGTCGATTTACTTGATCATTTGCAGAAAATTTTTCAATGAACTTTTTGCGGTCCCAGAAAGTAAAATATTTTTTCCACCCCTGAGCTTGTTAGTGAAAACATAAGCTGTTAATTAATGAGGGTTGTGTAGTTGTTACCAAAACTATTTTTGTGTTTTTTTTCCTCAAAAGGAAGGAGACACAGACTTGACTACCTGGCCAGCTGCAAATGAGACCCAATGACATACTGTATCAGGGCTGATCATGACATGGAGCTATTGGCAACATTCGAGAATAGCGAAACTGTAAAAGCCATCTTTACTTCCTGGCGTTGTTCTACTGTACCTGCTCGACTTAGACTACCCATCCAGACTCAGCAGTCTGACATGGTAAAGGCTTTTTAAGAAATTGAACAATATTGCTACGTGTGAGAACTTTTACATTTATCTATCAGTAATTACTTTAATAACCTATTCATGTATAGCTGGTAAATATATTATTTTAAACATTCTTAATTGTTTTTATATTGTAGGATGACAACAGCAAAAAATCATGCCAAGATTATTATTCTAGTTTCATATTGTCATTTAAGAAAAATACTTTAAAAGCCATGCACACCGGATCGAACTAGAATAATTTTCTTAGCAGGATTTCAATTCAAGATAATTTTTCTAATTTTGTCCCATGGGTAAGTAAAATTTTCTTATTAAGATTATTTTTCTTATTTCAAGAAAACGTTTTAGCAAAATTTTCTTATTACTAGAAAATAATTCTTGGGAAACTAAGAATTTTTTTCTAGAAATAAGAAAATTTTGCTAGAACGTTTTCTTGAAATAAGAAAAATATTCTTGATAAGAAAATTTTACTTACCCACGGGACAAAATTAGAAAAATTTTCTTACCAAGAATTTTGTTCTAACCAAGATTAATTTTCTTATTTTAAGAAAAATTTTCTTGAAATCTGATTCTTACCTAGAATATTTTACTTACCCACGGGACAAGTAAAATTTTCTTAAAACAAGTAATTTTGTGCTTAAAATAAGTAATATTTTCTTAAAACAAGAAATTGATTTTTTGCAGTGTAGTAGCTACAGTATCCCAAAGGTCGCGGGTTCGATTTCCGCCGTGGTCAGGCTATAACTTTTCAGCTTGCCCGGTGTGGATATACACTCAGAGTAATCTCAAAAACATTATATTCACCTGTCGAGTACATAACATCAAAACACACATGCACAAACGCCTGTATGTAATTTTAACATAGATATTCTAGCACCCTTATTAAAACCCCTATAATTACCCTGGTTTTGCCACACAAAATCATTGCAATAACCAATGTATCACAAATAAATCACCTTTAATCTGAAGTTTGATATAATAGCAGCTTGTGAATTTTACACGTGTATACATATGTGCAGGGTGTATAAAAACACAATCCGCGATTCAAAGGTAAATTTCTCAAATATTTAAACAGCAAAATTGTAATGTTTAGTCCGTTTTAAAACCTAGCCATGTAGCTTTCCCATGGTGGACTGTTTTTACATTTGAGCGATTGGTTCGCAGAAAATATGAGATACAATAAACAATTTTAAACATTCGCCTATTTTGCCACCAAAACGAGAAGAATTTGAACATTTTGGAAATAGTTCATGAAAACCTATAATCCAGGTCAAAATTCACGTGGACACGTTTTTTACAAAAATCCTAAAGAGCTAAAACTTGACTTTACCTCCCGTCCCCCAACTCTGATTTAATGAAAAATTCCATTGAACATTGACTTGGGGGAGCGAGGGATATTTATTTCGAGAAACGGCATTGGAGACCAATGTCTGTGGGTTGTTCACAAAGTTTTGGCCACGATTGCAGTAACTACAGCTTTCTACGCACTTCTTTCGATAGTTTTCCTGTTATGAAAGCGCGACTATGAAATAACAGTAAAATTGTATTATTGAACGGCTTCCTAAAACAAAAGGTTCTACTAAATTTTCTTTTGAGCAGTTGTTACGTTGGTCTAGCGATACAAATACAACCTTTTTCCAAAGAAGAAAAAATAGCAAGCTTTAAAATATGTAAGACTAAATGGTTTTATAAGGTGTAGTGTTCCAAAAATCATTGAAGATGCATTCTGTTTTCTACATACTCTGTATAATGTAAATATCACACACCATGAAAATAAATTGATTAAATGTACAAATTGTTATTAAACATAATTGCCCCCCCCCCTCCACCCCCACCCAGACGTTAAAAATAGAAATTTTACCGAATGTACAGCACTAAATGAATGCTTTTTACCTGATTTTGAAAGTTTTTCTAATATGGCAGCTACAATTTCCAACGTGAGATAAGTATCTTCTCTGTTATCCACATATGGTTTATCAGGCTTTGGGACAATTTTTGGACTTTCAATTTCCCTACAGACAATACGTAAACATTGATAAATATATTACATTTATATATTTGTATATTTATATATTTATATATTTGTATATTTATATATTTAGAACCTATGTATTTTCACATTAAATGTATTTACATTACTCAATGCAAGCATACGGCAGCCATGTATTTTTCTCACATTGTTTCCTTTACGAGAGAGTTTATGTTGCACGTTAAAATGTTTTTATTTTCGTTTTCAACTATATCATTAAACCTGTACAGTCTTTCCCTTTGTAAAAAGCATTCTGTTTTTTTTTTTACTTTTTTACAATCGAAATGCTGTTGCATTCTTTCTTTTCTTGAACGAGTATGTTTATATAATTAAAGTTTTTAAAGTGCCGTTATTAAAAACCAACCGTGCATATAGTTAAGATAAATAAAGTTTACCTTTTAAATTCAATCATTTCTTCGTCATTTACAGTCTGGCCTTCTGGCTCAAACACAGAGACTAAATCTGAGAGGCGTGGGTTTTTCCTAGCTTCTTCACACAACATCTTAACAGTTTCGTCCTCGTCGTTTTCATGAGAAACAACCCAAGTAATAAGATCAGCTTTTGTTGCACGCCGACCACAGTGTTGTAAAGCAGCTAGTAAATAATCTTCAGTATTTACTAGAGTCATAGACATATTCTCAAGAGTCTCTTTTGCACTAGTAAGAGTTTCAAGTGAATTCATCCGTCTTCGCTTTTTTGGCTGAATTATATCTACTTCCTCTTCGACATTTTCCGGCAGAGTTCTCTTACCTTCTATGTCGCTTGCAAAATATTTTTGTTCATCTTTAAAACTATCTTCTGTCAGTTTTATTGAGTTCTCAGGTATGATTGTTCTTAAAACATTTGCAAGAAGCAAAGGGTCAATAGTCTTGTTAACAGCTTCTAGGAGCATAAAAGTCTGTAATGGTAGTTCGTCGACCGGCACCTGGCCAATGCAAGCTTTTGCTAACTCTTTTCTCAAATTCAAAATCTGTTTCATTGTAAAATGGTTTAAAGAATAGCACTTGTGTCTTTTATCATTGACAGTTTTCTCCCACTCCTTCAACTCGTTTTCCATTGTTTCACAGGTTTCATCAATGTTCTTTAACAACATTTCTCTACAGCCTTCATTTTTACTGCACTGAAATTCTTTTTTCCATGTTATGTAGTTGATCTCGCCAACTTCACAAAGTTGCAAGTACAACTTACTTACTCTGAGTATTCCTTCAAAAACCTGAAATATTAAAACCAAATATTGCATGTAGATATTGTAGAATTACTGATTTGATCATTACTGTTAAATGGTGATGATAACTCTTCATTCGCTTCAGTGGCGAAGCCAGCTCAAATGACTTGGGCATGCTAACTTCATGCCACCTAGGAGATTCGAGTTGAACCGGGAAATGCCATTTCCTGCGATTTGGGCATTGAATTTTGCGCTCAAACTTTTACCACATTTAGCCAAAAGCGGGATTGATGACGATTTGATCACCATGAAGCATCATACAAGAGGTATAAAGCCATTGAACCCAAATAAAATTCTATTGTACCTGGGAGGTAAATACACAATAAAATTTTTTCTTTATTAAATAGACTAGATATGTTTACCATGAGAAGATGCCGATTTTTATGGTGAATTCAATAGTGTTCTCCAATTTCCCATTTCCCATATATATATATACTCTCAGATTGAATTTTCAAAGCTCACTAATCAACACCACAGTGCAACAGAATTGCAGCCATCAGTATTGCATTTTAATTTTTATATTTATATTTTTCTCAATCATCATTGTTTCCTGCAATACAAACCTGGTTAAATTGGTCAACTTCGTCCTTTCCACTTTCTGCTTTCCCAGCAATCAACATTAATTTACTTTGAACATCCTTTATTTCTTCTAAGCTATAAATCTTTTCGTCCCGGTTCTTAATTTCGTCTTTAGGAACAACAAGGGATACCAAATTCTCAAGGCACAATTCACTGTCTACATGTTTACTTTCTTTAGTTTTTTCGTTGTCTGCAATGTAGTAAACACCAGAGGAATTGATTGCTTCAACTTGAACCATAGTTGTGAGAGCAACAGAACCATGCGACTCTTTAATTTGCTTCAACCATGGGAGGCCTCGCTTAGTCAACATCTTAAATGAAAATGCACTGTTAGTAAATATGTAATTATTATAATCATTCTATTGCAACATAGATACAAGCGATTTGACATTCTGCTTTAAGCAGGCAATATCCTCCGCCATGCTCAAGGGGAATACCAAATTTCTGTCAACTCAGGACAATTAAACCAAAATAAACTAAAACTATCACTTTGATAGTTTTTCTGATATTTCATTGCCTGTTCAGTGTTCTTCATTTGCATAATATTACTATTAGGGGCCATTCACAAAGGATGTCCGAGCCGAGGGGGGGAGGGGGGTTTGGAAAATCAGGACAAACTCGGACATAGGGGGGGAG